TTTGCAAATTATAAGCTGGTAATTTTGGTGCCCGTTGTTAGTGAAACTGTGGCTGGTTTATGAACACTGAGAATGGAGAAAAGGATGATCAATATGTAGCCAAAAGATAACCCAAACTAATTATTTTTGGTTGTCAACAGAAGAATGTATGCATATTTATCTTTTAGCTTGACTTTTGACAAAATCATGATATCTTTTTGGAGAATATGGAACATTGAGTGTGACTGATCTTCTAGTTAGGTTTACTTACAAGTAGTTGAATGGCCTCCTCGAAAAGCTGGTTGCTGATTATTATATTCTTCAGGCCAGGAAACACGTTGAGCCCTATATCTACTGCAATGCCAGGTATCCAGTTTTATGAATTATGTGAATGCATATCTAAACAAATTAACAATGTTCACCTATGAGGAGGTCTTTAGTGGAATATCACATGGCTTTGCTCTATGCTTTCTTCAATTTCCAAAATCCTTGGTGAAGCTTTGTAAGTCAGATTTACAATATTTGCAGATAAACATGAACTGAGAGAGACAACACGATTTTGGGAAACCAACTCAGGATCCAAAGAGATTGATAAACAAAAACTCTGTGCCCAAGCTAACAAAATGAAATTCAGTGTAGTGAAATTCTTCACTTGCATCTTTGGGGAAATAAGTCCTGGTCCTGCTTTATCAAGGGTGGTAGAGAGCAAAGAGGAGGCGTGTGAAGGTGGAGAGTGGACTGTTCTGTATCTGCGTAGTCATGTACTGAAGGGGATCTAGACAGGTGCAAGAAGCCGGATACCCACCCAAGGACAGGCCTTCAACCGCACATGGTCCCCATGGCTTTTGCAGGTGGTAATGGTGATGTGAGAAATGGAAGTTGGTTGTTCCATAGTCATAGTTTTAAAGGCAGAGCAGCATCCTTTAGGGTCTGGTATTATGGTGGAAACAGGAATCAGAAGAAGAAAAAACACAATGAAAGAAAACATCATGTGAAGGCAAATTTGTAGGCCCATCCCCATCTCAAGTTCTGTAAGATGGCTCTGGAGCCATCCTCCTCAGCTGTGTGACCTTAAGCAAATTATCTAACCTCTCTGAGCTTCAGTTTTCTCATCTGCAAAACAGAAGTCATAATTATTATACCCACCTCCAGAATTATTGTGAGAATAAATGTTTTTGTACCTAAACAGAACAGTGACTGACCATAAGCAATATGAGTTAGTTATTATTACTTTTGTTGTTCTTATTAAAACTTAGGAAAATGTTACAATTTGTTGCAATAAAGAAACTAGTTAAAGAGGTCCGTATACCCCCCGTGCCACAATAAAACACACAAAACAAAAAAGACAGTGATGGCAGTGTAGGATGGAAGAGATGCGGCTTTGCAGCATAAATTAAAACGTAGCTTGAGACTGTTTTTGCACGTACTGCACCCTTCAGACCAATTGGCTTTGCGGTTTGAAGATACAGAAGCCTGTGGTTTCACGCACTCTCAGTTTTCCAGTTTCTCTAGACTTCGTGTCATGAAACTGGCTTTCGCATCCTCCTGCTCGTTTCCCAGTACCAGTTCTTCATTACTGCCTTCATCTACTGGTTGAGATTAATCTTCCTAGAATAACAACAGTCTTTATGTCTTACTCCAGCTCCATTACCAATGAGTATAAAACTCACGCATTTAGGAAGGGCGTTTGCCACCTGCCAAGACCTGGCCGTCCTTGCGCTCTGGCCTGGTTCGCCTCCTGCAGAGCTGGGCTCTGTGCTATAGGCAGGCCTCATTCCTGTCCCCGCCGCCTTCTCTCTCTCAACCTCACCGGAAATGCTGTTAACTTGATTTTTGATGGTAATAAATGTGAAAATGCTGTCTCCTGCATGAAGCTTGTTGGAAAGGCCCTCCCTAATTGAAGCTTTCATCCTAGGAGTGACCTCATTCTGTGTTATGTATCTACATTAGCTCCTTCGTTGGGTTTCCAGCTCTCTGAAGCAGGGACTGAATTGGTTGTCATTTGCTTTCCCCTCAGGGTCTCCTTTGGGTTCCTGCGTTAAAACAAAGGCTCATGTAGTGCTGAATTGACTTGAACCAAATTAAAGGAGGGCATTGGCACCAAACGCTTCCATCGCTGTTTTTTTGTTTTGTGTGTTTTATTATGGCATGGTGGGTATAGAGACCCCATTGACCAGTTTTCTTATTGTGACTATTTGTTATATTTTCTAAATTTTAATAAAGACAACAATCACAATCTTGGGAGCCTTGGTACCCCTGTCTGGGCCTGACCAGGGTAAACTGACTGAAGAAACTGTATGGACTCCCCCGCCCCCACCCCCTCACCATTCTATTCTTTATTTCTAGAATTTTTTTTCTCTGTTTGTTTTCTATAAATTCTCACACTCTTAAGATACCTTTGCCTTTTCTTCCTGTCCAGTCTAACTTGCTCAATTTGCTTGCTCACGTGGAAGCCTGGTCATTCATCTCTCTTTTCCACTTTTCAGTCCTCAAATATCCTTCTTAACATATTTTTTTCTCTCCCAGCTCCTTTCCTCTGTCAGCCTCAGGCATAGAGGATGACAGTGCTAGTAGAAATTGTTTTAAATAGTGGGAGGACTAGAAATCTCTATGGAATGCAATTCACTGTGGTTTCTTTTAAACCATTTAATAAAAGGCTTTTGCCCTTGTTTCTGTTCTATTCAGAAGGATTTCAGAATAAATCCTTAGCCTGCCATATGGAAATAACTGGGTTAGATGGCTGCTGCCTAATCTAAGCATTCTATTCAAATATTTGGAACTGTTTTCAGATCAAGGAAACATAGGTTGGCACTAAGCTTTGTTTTAGTCAAGGTTTGGGAGAGGTTCTGAGCAGTAGTATGTATACTTTGATAAATTTCATAGACTAGATCTGTGAGTTAAAATTTAGTTTGTCCTTTCAACATTAAACTATTTTAATCCTAGTTATAATTCCACTGAAGGCTGGATTTACTCACCAGCTTGCTAAAACTGTAGATGCCATCCACAACCATGTTATTTAAACACAATTCAGAAATCATAAATAGAATTCAAAAGAGGGCTCACTTCTGCAAGACACGTTTCAATGCTCTGAAGAAACCCTCTCAGAAATCTGCCAGAGACCTTGTAGGTCTGAAAATATCTTCTGTGTTTCTACCATCCAAACTTGGCAGCTTGAAAACTATTTATTACAAATCAAAACAGATATTTTACTAACTCCCAAAATGTTGCTTTCTGTTTGGGTATTAATTTTGTTTGTTCATGTCTTTAACTAGAAAAGTTAGTAATGTCATGGTCATCCAGCAAATCCCAAGAAAATAATTACTCCCTTATGCAGCATTTTAGCAAATGTTTCTTGAACACTGGCTATGTGCATAGTACTACAATGAATGTTTCTGATAACAAAAATATGAATTAAATTTGATGTTTGACCACAAGAAGTAGAAGAACGATAAGATATTATGGTGAGTGCCATAGAAAACTTGATAAAATGCTCTGAGGAATGAGAGCGGGTGAGTCAGTCAGAGAAGGCTTCATAAAGGAAGTGGAATATGAGCTTTGATGTCTAGTCAGATGTCAATATGGGAAGACAGGGGCTGGCGGGCAGGGGGATCTGGACAGCTGGAACATTCTTAACAAAGTCTCAAACAGTACAGTACCGAGTATGAATGAGAAACAGGGAGTACTGGTTGGGTTTTAGTTTTATGTAAGTTAAAGGGAACAGTTAGAGATAAAGTTAAACTCAGTGGGGGTAGGATCTCAGATTAAAATTTGGTAAGTAGTGGGGAATATTTATTCATTATTCCACTCTTTAAGCTACTCCAGAACTGTGTTTAGGATAATTAATCTGCCATCTGCATGTAAGCTTGATTGCAAAAGAAGAAAAATTGGAGTTTGGAAGACCAGTTGGGAGGTTATTATACTGGGCTAGTAAGAGTTACTAGGAGCTGCACTAGGCTGGGAAGAGTAGGTCTGGAACAGAGGGGAGGAACTGAGAGACATGATGTAGTGAAAAATTCCAGGACTTAGAACCTGATTAGAAGAGGAGAGGAAGAAGAAAGAGAGGAGCTAAAGATAAGTGTAAAGAGCTGAGCCTAAGAACTGACCCTGTTAAAAAAGACAAGTCGAAGGGTGCAGCTGGTGCATGGTAGAAGGCGACTTCAACTCTGCTAGCGGTGCACAAAGGTATATATGTTCCCCAGTGGGCAGCTGAAACCGTGAAAGCAAAACTCAGGCTATGACCTGAAGTATAGACTTGGGACCCATTAGCATAAAGGACATAGAGGAAGACGTGGGAGTGGATATGAATGCCAAAGGCACAGAAGAGAAGATGGCCAAGGACAGGACTCTAGGAGGAAGGTGGTCTGCTGGTAGGTGAAGAACGAAGAGCCAAAATTGAAATGGTCAGCAAGGTCAGGGTAGACCCAAGGGAACTTAGTATCATAAAAGACTGGGGAAGAGAGATTTTCCAGAAAGGCGGGGCCAGTAATATTCATGGGAACAGAGAGGTAAGGACAATGAAAATTGGGAGAGGGAAATAAAATGTGGCAGTTAGGAGTTCACCGACTTTCATAAGAGTGGTCTTAGAACTGTGAATTGCTAGAATGCATTCTCTAAAAGTCTTGGGTTTGTTAGTTTTAGGCCTATAAAATATTCTGGATTTTTCCATTTCTTGAAAATAACACAGATAATGATGGACAATGGATGGGTGTGTGTGTGTAAGAGAGAAAGAGAGAGCCTTGTAACCAGAGGACTGTTTTATAAAATAAGTGATCAAATTATTTAAATTAAATCTACCTTGAGCTCATATTTCATCAATATTAGAAAAACTCATTCAACCAAAAAAATCTCTAGAATTTTACATTAGTTAATAAAAAAAACTTCTACCAGAACTATATCAATTAAAAAGACACCCCATTTCATCATATGAAACAATAGCAACAACATTCTGTGTAAGCAATTGTTGAACTGAACCAGTGAGCATAGGGCAGGAACATATTTAGATCATCATCTTTTTCCTTTCTTTTCAGAAGTAAAGGCCGAGCTATGATAGCAACTGGTGGAGTGATAACCGGCCTGGCTGCCTTGAAAAGGCAAGACTCCGCCAGGTCACAGCATCATGTCAACCTCAGCCCGTCGCCTGCTGCCCAAGAGAAGAAACCAGTCAGGCGTCGGCCCCGAGCTGATGTCGTGGTTGTTCGTGGCAAAATCCGGCTTTATTCCCCATCTGGTTTTTTCCTTATTTTAGGAGTGCTTATCTCCATTATAGGAATTGCAATGGCCGTCCTTGGATATTGGCCCCAAAAAGAACATTTTATCGATGCTGAAACCACATTGTCAACAAACGAAACTCAGGTCATTCGAAACCAAGGCGGTGTGGTAGTTCGCTTCTTTGAGCAGCACTTACATTCTGATAAAATGAAAATGCTTGGCCCTTTCACAATGGGGATTGGTATTTTCATTTTCATTTGTGCTAATGCCATTCTTCATGAGAACCGTGACAAAGAAACCAAAATCATACACATGAGGGATATCTATTCCACAGTCATTGACATCCACACGCTGAGAGTCAAGGAGCAAAAGCACATGAATGGCGTTTACACTGGTCTGATGGGAGAGACAGAAGTGAAACAGAACGGGAGCTCCTGTGCCTCGAGATTGCCAGCAAACACGATCGCCTCGTTCCCGGGTTTTCGGAGCAGTTTTCGAATGGACAGCTCTGTGGAGGAGGATGAACTTATGCTAAATGAAAGCAAGAGTCTGGGGCATCTGATGCCCCCTCTGCTGTCTGACAGTGCTGTCTCTGTCTTCGGCCTCTATCCACCTCCTTCCATGACAGCCGATGATAAGACCAGCAGCTCTAAGAAATGTGAAACCAAGTCCATTGTGTCCTCATCCATCAGTGCTTTTACATTGCCTGTGATCAAACTTAATAACTGTGTTATTGATGAGCCCAGTATAGATAACATCACTGAAGATGCTGATAACCTCAGAAATAGGTCAAGGAATTTGTCAGTGGATTCCCTTGTAGTCCCTGTGCCCAACACCAGTGAATATTTCCAGCCAGGCAGTGCAGTGCTCCCAAGGAATAATTCCATTGGGGAATCCTTGTCCAGTCAGTACAAGTCCTCTGTGGCCCTTGGACCTGGGGCTGGACAGCTCTTGTCTCCTGGGGCTGCTAGAAGACAGTTTGGGTCCAATACATCCTTGCATTTGCTCTCATCACACTCAAAATCCTTAGACTTAGACCGGGGTCCCTCCACTCTGACTGTTCAGGCAGAACAACGGAAACATCCAAGTTGGCCTCGGTTGGATCGAAGCAACAGCAAAGGATATATGAAATTAGAGAACAAAGAGGACCCAATGGATAGGTTGCTCGTGCCCCAAGCTGCAATCAAAAAAGACTTTACCAATAAGGAGAAGCTTCTTATGATTTCAAGGTCTCATAATAATTTGAGTTTTGAACATGATGAGTTTTTGAGTAACAACCTAAAGCGGGGAACTTCTGAAACAAGGTTTTAATGTTAGAAAAGATATCATTTTACAAGGGTATATATTTTAAAACTATTTTCACTGGTATTTCCTTCTTAAAGCATTGATTGTAAGCCTTTTTAATCAAATGGTCTGTAGCGTATTAGAACTGGCTGCTTAATTCTGGAATGGAGATGGTTGTATGTTTGGTTTATTTATGACTGCAGTACTCTGTATTATCACATATGACTTTATTTTTCCATTTATTTGAAAGCATGGTCTCTTTTTTTAATATGAATACAAAATAATACTTGCACCCAAACTAAAACTCCTTTTCTTTAAAGTTTCTTCACTGATCGTCATATTCATAGAATGAAGAGTCCAGTATGGAAAACATAGGGTACCAAAGTGTAGACTCTAAGTACCAAATTCAGGCCCAACACTCAATAGAAATTTATAAATGATTGTGAGTGCAAATCTTAGAATGTGATTTCCTGAATAATTGCTTTTGTAAAGGATTGGTTAAATTATTTAAACGGAAAAAGACCTAGTTTCTGTGTGAGCTCAGTATTATAAGTTGGTTAAGTTGGCTGTGAATCTTAACCTGAGCTTTAGGTAGGTAGTATTTTTTTCAACATCAGTTCTGTTTTAGTGATATTTTATCAAGAAACCATGTATTCAGGAGCCATGGCTGAGAATGCTAGATATACTTAGAGATAAATATCAAAATGCTATTAGCTGTAACTTTAGATATTAAGAATCAAAACTTCTTTACAAAATGACTTGAAAAATGAATGAGCCAATACATTTTGTAGAAATGCTATCTTGAAATAATTATGTACATGAAGAAAATGTTGACTAATGAATGAAGATACGTAACATGATAGTTAATGCTAACTAGTCTCAGTACCCTTTTCTAGCCATGTGTTATCATCCAATACCCATTCATTTCCACATTCTTCTTTCCCCCTAATATTTTTTCAGATCCTGTTATTTGGAAAATAATCAGCTAACCTTGACATTTCTTTTATCTTCACATACCACCGGCTTGATGGTTCAAGAAAATTTAGTCCTTGATAAATTGCCTTGAAATTTACCTTGTGCTGGAAAGCCTTATGATAACTCCAAAGACCTTCTTGTGTAATACATTTTTAGGATTCTGGTTCTTAGTTATTGAAGATAATAAATACTGAAATGGGTGTTTCCATCAGAAAATTTTCTTGTTTTCCATTAAGGTAACATAATTTTAAGAATTGTTTAATGGAATACTCAGGAAATTTTATAGGTTTTCCCCAATGTCTAATCATTTCTGAACATCAGTATTGCAGTTATGGAAGAGCGGAGGAAGGTACATTGTGTGCGCAGCTCCCCACAATTCCACCTTGTATTTGCATCACAAGCTTCCTTCAATTGAGGCATAGTTTTACTAGTTAGAACATCAAGCCTGTGTATTGTAATAGAGTGGGCTTAATATTTTACTATAAAGCATTTAATAAACTTCTGTTCTTAATAGAAGTTTGTGTTCTTCATACCTTTGCTATTATTTTTTACTTAAAAGATACATTTTTGCTTAAAGTACTGTTTTTCAAACTTTCAGATATATTCTACTGAGGGTACTTGATACCTTAGTGCATGTACCGGGTGCCCTGGCTTTTTTATTTTGCTTTTGTTAGGTTAAAGATCTAGGTCGCATCACCTATTTAGCTAGACTATTTTCATATTTTGTTATCTTGAGAACATTTTCACTTAAAATTTCATGGACCGTCAGGAAAATAACCAAATACAGCACCCAGCAAATGTCAGTGGCACTCTCAGATTTGAAGACAAAGGCTCTCAACACTCCTGATGTGACAAATGACTAAAGTCATATAATTTTCTCAATTGACCCCTGAAAGAGCTCTAGAAATTTGAAGAGAATTAAGCAGCATAGGTATTGGAGGGTCCGAATAAAGGAATTGGGGGCTTAAAGCAGTGCTTTCTGCTCAACCTACTCTTCATCAAAATGCTTGAGTTTTTCTATACTTAACAAATCAACTTTATTAAGTGATACCTAATTTTCTCATTTTAAATTAACCAAAGACATAAGTTGCTAGTTAAATTTTCAGATGAGAATGAGATAGCTGATGTTACCCTATTGATATGGTGAAATTCCACCTTAAAGCAATGAAAGTGGAATTTTAGATGATATTTTTCATGTTTCCCTTAGGCATATGAATATAGGAAATTACATGGAAACTTAATTTCTTCCCCTGGGGAACCCCAGGAATCTGGACCATGGGCTAGCTGCCTCCAGCCCAGTTTCTAAGGCCTGTGGCCTCTCTGGGGTATGTTAGTTTGCTAACACTACAGGAACAAAATGCAAGGTTTGAACAATAGAAATGTATTTTCTCACAGTCCTGGAGGCTAGAAGTGCAAGATCAAGGTGTCGTCAGGATTGGTGTCTCCCAAGGCCTCTCTCTTGGCTTGCAGATGGCTGCCTTCTCATGCTGTCCTCACATGGCCTTTCCTCTGTGGCATGAGTATCCCTGGTGTCTTTCTCTTTTTATGGGACCCCAGCCATATTGCACTAGGGCCCTACCCTATAAGCCTCACTTTACCTTAACTACCTCCTTAAGGGTCCAGTCTCCAAATATGGTTACATTCTGAGCTACAGGGAGTTGCGACTTTAACATTGAATTTTAGCAGCCCAGAGCATGGGGTGTGGAGAACTGAGTGAGTGTGCTTAGCCTAGAGTAGGTGAGAAGAGCACAATATACCCCCAACAGCTTTGCCACCCCAGCCACGGAGCCTTGAGAAAATCACTTAATCTCTCAATTTCTATTAATTTCTTAATTTCAAGGCCTTAGATTCCTCAGCTGTGAAGTGAGATGAGTAAGAATGTAAACTATAAAGTTCTTCGTAAGCCTAAAAGTCCAGGCTTCTTGGTGCCCACAGATGAAGATCCACTGCCTGTCACTGTCTCTTTGCAGCAGTTTGCTCTCAAGCAATGGGGGGCAGGAACTATGGTAGAGCAAAGTGATTAGACTTGTGAATGGTGGAGCCAGAGTACCCGGGTATAAATCCTGGCATGGCCACTTTCTGGTTGAGTGGCCTTGGGCATGGGCAATAGCTTGTCAGATGTGCTGAAAACTGCTCACACAAGCCCACCAGTGTGTACCAACGAGTGCCAGCCCCACATCCAGGACACTGTAGATTAAATGGGTTCATGCTTGTTGAGGGTCCAGGATGGTGTCACGTGGGCACATAGTGAGCATTCAACATATATGTGCTATTGCTTTCTGAAAGTGTCACCTGAAAGAGTTTCCAAACTTCACCCCATCCCCAAGTATTCCACCTGTAGTAGGATGAATATTGGCCACCTGAAAGATGTCCATGTCCCAATTCCTGGAACCTGTGAATGTTACATTATACGACAAAATGGACTTGTGGCTGTGATGAAGTTAATGATCTCAAAATGGGGAGGTTATCTTGGGTTATTCACATGAGCCCAATGTAAACACAAGGCATCTGATAAGAGGAAGGAAGAAGGAGATTTGACCACAAAGAAAGTGGTGATGTGAGCAGAGCAAAAAGAAATGGAAGATACTAAGCCGCAGCTTTGAAGGTGGAGGTAGGGGCCGTGAGCCAAGAAATACGAGGAATAAAACCCCAGAAGGTGGAAAAGGTAAGGAAACGGATTCTCCCCTCAGCCTCCAGAGGAAGCGGACCTGCTGACACTTTGACTTTAGTCGAGTGAAACAGATTTTGGACTTTCAGCTTCTAGAACTGTAAGAGAATAAAAATGTGTTGTTTTAATCAATTTAACTTCGTGGTAATTTGCTACAGCAGCCGTAAGAAACCTTAATACATCTCCTCAAACCAGAGGAGCTTCTTCAGAACAATAAACCAGCAGTCAGCAAACTTACGAAGAGGGTAAAAGGCATCCATACTGGGTGATGGCAGGTGCCCCAAAGCAGGGTGTATGATCGACTCTAAATTTACTTTAGCACTGATCATCTTTTTTATTTTTATTTTTTTGGGCTGATCATCTTTTTTCTTTAGCACTGATAAACAGTGTAAGTATAATAATTTTTTAAAAAGAGGTATAGCTTCTTTGAGGAAGGAAATGAAGATTTTTTGATAAATAAAAAAATATAAAACCCCATAGTTGGCTTTCATCTATATAATCTGAGAAGAAACAATGGTAATATAAGTAAAAAGAAACATCTTTTTTAGCACAAGTTTGTATCAAAATGGAAATTATACTAGCACTTAACAATTTACTAGATAAAAATAAATTTTGAGTTACTTATTTTAGCAGTTCAAATATAACTCTTGTAAATCTGCCACAGATAACTTCTTTTAAAAAGAAGAAGAAAAGATCTATCAGTTTACCAATACTTTTTCTATAACATTTTAAATATTAGAGTCTTGGCCTTCCCAGTGGTATATATACACCAACTACGGTATTCAGGTTATTCAAAGTTCGTAATCACATGTTCTCTAAGCAGAAGCTGTGAGAACATTACATGGCTTATCCTGTCTCCTACTTTCAATAGATTGCCCTGTCGCACTTCCTCACCCTATAAATAATTCTATTTTAGACTTTATATCAAGGTGTATAGCCTTGATATTGTGTTAAAGGACTTTGTCTTTAATCCCCAATTTGATGATTAAAGTCCTTTATGATGGCTGTATCTTTGTGTACCCAAATTTCCTTTTCTTATAGGAATACCAGTAAGATTGCATTAGGGCCCACCATAACAGCCTTGTTTTAACTTAATCACCTCATTAGAGACCCGGTCTCTAAATACAGTCACATTCTGAGATACTGAGGGTTAGGGTTTCAACATAGGAATTAGGGGTGGGGACACAATTCAGTCCATAACAAATAGCAATTTAAAAATCAGGCTTTCCCAAGAACAGAGCTTATTAAGGTGACAGAATTAGGTCTAGGTCAATCAACCTTTCTATGTGAACAGGTCGATTCATCTCTTTGAAACACAATTTAGGTAAATTAATTTATATTTCCTTTTTTACTGTCAGTGTATGAGAAGAGAAAATAAGTAATAAAGAGGATACAGGAAACTTCTACACATAGGAGCGTGTCATTCTTACAATATCAATATGGCTTTCAGCAAGCTGGGCAAAATGTATGATATATATATATATTTTTTTTTAGCTGCTGGTACAGGGATCCAAATCCTTGATCTTGGTGTTCTAACACCACACTCTAAGCAACTGAGCTAACTAGCCCCTGAATGTATAATCTTAAGTTGCTATATTCTTAGTGTCTCCCTTTACTCCTGGTTTGTTCATTAGTTATTTTATTATTAGTTACAGAAGTGACTGAGAAAATTACTTTTATTTTTGTCTCCTTCCTTATTAATTCATGATTTAATAGTTTGGGATTTATAATAATTTTCTAGTTCTTTCCCATTACCAAATAGGGTATATAGTATCCCCAGGAGAAGATATAGTCTACAAATTAAATTTAGAGATTTTCTTTGTAGGGTAATTATTTATAATATACACAAGGCCACCACAGTATCTATAGTGCAAAAGATAGAATAATTTGCTAATAGAGACATAAACTGGAATTAGGAGCAATAGGACATTGGAGCTGATACCCAGTGTCACACACGTTAGTGACAGAATAAGGACCTGAATCCAGGACTGTTGATTCTTAGAATTTGCATCAATGAGGATCTAACCAGGTTCTTTTAAACAAATATTCAAAATCTGGTGATTAGATTTTGCATTTCTTAGGACTGGTAAAAGAGAGACGTATCTATAATTTCAGGCAGAAAATACAGTGTTGAAATTTTCAACACATCTTAGAAATGTTGGGACACAGAACTTAGAATGGAAATTTTTATTTTTTATTGTATACCTTGATTTCCTGTGTTTTCATATATTAATTATCTTACACTGCCATGAAAATTACAACAGTAAAGTCTCCCAAACGATTATATTACCTATCAACAAGATCTACAGAACTAACGTGAGACATTTGCATCCATATTTAGTAAACCATGTGTACTGAGAAGGAAGGCAGGAAGACAAGGACAAGGGTAGGATTTGGGAGATAAGAGAGGAAGAGAAAATACCATATGTGTTTCCTGCATATTGAAAACCCATGCACATCAGAGGGCTGTGCATTTTTAATTCATTTTGTAATAAAACCAAGTTCATAATTTTTAATCATAAGCAGTGAGAAAATATTCCTTGTTGATTTTAAAATACATTTTAATAGACATTAACCGTGTTTATTATCCAGGTTATTTGCCAGTCACCCTAAGGGTTAGTGAATCAATCACTAATTTGAAGTTGTCCACTAAGGAGTCATCAATAGCTCAAAGCTGTTTGGAGATTATTATTTTAAAAAATAAAATCACTTTTATTTCTGCAGATATATTCTATGTTCATTAGGTGTGTATTTTTCCCTACAGCATTTCCAAATTCTACATACACTACCCATGTCATCATTTACAATGTTAATAACTGAAAAATCAAACTAACTTTACAGCTAGTTA